TATATATATATATATATATATATATATATATATATATATATATATTGTGATGTCCTTGGATTTGTGCAATGGGAATCGGATCGTGATGAGATCACAAAAATGAGATCGATTCACCTTTAAACACATATCCTAAATAATCCTGGTCATAAGTTACTCGAGAGGGACATCGTGATAACTGGGACAGACTAGTGTGTTGTATACCCGTCCAAATGATGGATGCAGCGGGTCTCATAGTTGCTCATGTAGGGACACTAGGGATACAGTACATGTGCTCATTGGAGAATGAGTTTATTGATTGATCCGCTTACGGAATGCTGGATGGTTGATGATGCCTTATTGTCAGACAGCGATTCCGTAGTCCTAGTGGTATATCTGGTCTTTAGACATGAGACACCAAGGATGTCTTGTATGAGTGCTCCACTCTTTGATACCAAACTTATAGCTTTGGCTATCCCAAATCTATTATAGTTGGTCATTGGGAGTGGTAGTCGACCTTACGAGGGCTATTGAGTGTCGATAGAGGATCATCCACTCTCAGCGTCATGAGAGGAATATCCCATGTGTTCTTGCTAAGACAAATCCCTGGCCAGGGTCATTCAGGTTGAGAAGAAAGAGTTCTCCGGGAGAATCCGATTAGAGCGAGACTCGAGTAGAAACCGTATGGGTTTGACAGAACCATGCTCGATATACGGTCTCTAGGATATTAGATGGATGAGGGACTATAGGTACACGGTAATTGAGGACAGATAGGTCCAATGGATTGGATTCCCCTATATCGTCTGGGGACTACGGCGTAGTGGCTTAGTACGTCCGTAGTCGATGAGTCAAGTGAATTATTACAGAGATAATAATTCACTGAGTTAGAAGGAGTTCTGACAGGTATGAGTTATGGCCAGCTCGATATTGGGCATAGAGGGTCACACACATATGGTAGGCATTGCGATGAGTAGAGGTTCGGATATGAAATATCCGATGGAGCCCTTGTCTTATTGGATATCCAATAAGCCCCTGAATTATTGGATCCCATGGACGAGATCCAATAAGAGCCCATGAGAGATTATTGGATAGAGATCCACTAATCTAAAAAACTTGGGTTATTGGATGTAGATCTAATACCCACTAGGCGAGGATCCATTAGGGTTTGATAGGGGACCTCTATAAATAGGAGGGATTCAGAGCCTCATAGGCTAGAGCCTTTGCTTGCCTCTCCTATTCTCCTTCCCCTCTCCACCTCAGAGAAGGCTTGGAGTTTTGAGGAGCGTCGTCGCAGCCCTGCTGTGTGGATCACCGCTAGAGAGGAGGACGCTTGACCTCCTTCACCCTCTCCTAAGGATCTGCAAGAAAATAGGGATATACGATCTCCCTATGTAACACAATCTATTATATACGCAGTTTTTCAGTTTCGTGAATTTTGCGCACCAATCTTCGCATGACGACGAACATATCTTTGGGAATCGGGGATTTTGTTTTCTTGTTCTTCCGCTGCGCATGTAATGTCGCCCCAATGATTTTCCTGACATACTAGATAACATAAGATTCACGTTTGTAATCAATTGTTTCTAGATTGAGTTAATTTAGGTCTAATTGAGTCGGTATTAGGGTAAAACAATGCCAACTCAATTAAGGGCCAACTAGGCTTGAATTGGGACTATTTTAGGCTAAGTGGAAGGCCCATTCAGTGACCCATAGCTGGCCCAATTGGTGACACCACTAGACTAGGTGGTGGTACTGCCTAGACATAGTCTCCCAAACTATGTCAAGTAGTGGTACTGCCCAGTGTTAGTGTTGCAAGCAGTGGTATCGCCTAGCACAAGCAGTGGTACCGCCCAGCACAAGCGATGGTACCGTCGGGACTCAAAAAACTCAAGATGTGACCTTTTTTTACTTCATTTTTTAAGTCGTTTGAGGTCTATAAATACCCTACCCTTTCCTACTTAGTGAAGCATGAAATTGAGTAGAAAGGGAGGAAAGAATACTTGAGAAAAATTGAAAACTTCTTAGGATTTAGAGTCTCTCCCTCCTAGAAGTTTTCTAAGGGAGAAGTGAGGTCTAAAAGAGATGTGTAAAGATTCTCTTCTGAGCATATGAAAAGGAGAAAGAGTTATAAGAGAGTAGTTGATCTTCGCCCATTAAATGGAGATTGGTAGTGGAAGCCTATGACCTCGAGTGAAGAGGAATTGAGAGTGGATGTAGGTCATAACGATTGAACCACTATAAATTTAGTTTGTATTTACTTTATGCTTTTTATTCATATTACAAACTGATTTACTTATTCACTATACTTATGAACGCTTTCAAGTTAAACTCATCTTTTTGATATGAGCTTTATCAAATGAGATTTCAAACCATTAAAATTTTACAAAAGTACTAATTCATCTCCTCTCTTAGTGTCGAAACGATCCTAACAAAAGATACATGGGTTAGTGAGCTTCTTGACACCTTATGAGTAATACCGAATCATCTTAAAGACTTATCAAGAAAATCATTCTTTAGCTTGGCCTATGAACTGAGGCAATCTAACCGCCTGAAGTCATCTTCCCAACACCCATAATTGGGAACTTTAAAGAAGAATCCTTTCAAAGGGGATTTAATACAGACCGCATTAGCAAGGTTAGGGCGACTACACACCCAGGGATGATGAAGTATAGAAAGGCTGTAGTGAAATTCTACAATCATCAAGTGCATTCCTGATATATTAGCCTATAGGTGACTTTATTATTTGGAAGGCGGAAGTCAAAGACTCAACTTAAGCAAACAAGCCATCAATTTGTTCTTCAGAGACACCACTGATATATTCAGATCAAACTATAACAAGTTAAGCACATAACACAACTAAATTAGAGCATTAATTTGGTGGTGCCATCTAACAATGATATATTGATTTAAGTTAGTGGATGGAGCTTTGCCAAATGCACTCACCACAGGAATATCATCCTATCAAGCTAGATAACTTAAATTCATCCATCATTATGTGAATGACATCAAGTAATCATCACAAACCATTGGGTATCATATCCGATTGGATCTGACATAATAGTCAAAACAATATGCCTATCGAAAGCCGAGGTGACAATGATAGCTCACACATGTAAATAGATATATTGACAAATTCATCATGGGGCCTAACTACATATATGACAAAAGGAATCCTAAACGATATAACTATGCTGAATTGAACGACACCCAAGTTTGGCAATAGTGGTTAAATCAGCCCAAGTGCTCATTTGATGACAACGTGGACACATTAACTCAAAGTGCTCCTTCAACGTCAGCATAACTAAATCGGCTCAAAGTACCCCTTTGATGATAATATAATCAAATTTGCCTAAAACGCTCCTTTAGTGATAACATGACTAAATGGACCCAAAATGCTTTTTTGATGACAATACGGTTAAATCGACCCAAAGTGCTCTTTTGATAACTATACGACGGAATTGACCTAAAGCGCTCATCCAACAACATTGTGTTGAATTAAACAAAAATTTATCCCACATGGATAAACCATCGATGTGATTTTACTCTTCATGACCGATAGTCAAATAGATATTATATTATGTCCCGACTCTAAGTAAGTAAAGAAAGTTGCTAAGACCCCCCTATGGATGAACTTGTATGCACATCAAGGTAAAGATGGGGAGCATGTGACATAGGTATAATGTTGCAAGAAGGCAATCGAAACTACATCACCAAGTGGCCAACACCCCCTCGTTATATTGTCTAACACTCCATCGTTAGATAACTGATATCTCAACACCATATGGCTGGCATTATATTACTCTCCATACATGATGACCCATTCATAATTGCACCAAGCTCTCTAGATTCAACTTTATATGATCACAACTAACACTAGAAGAAACATATAACCATTCCTGACATTAAACCATGATCTTAATTTTAACTGTCCTAAAAGGCTCCTTTAAGTATATTCTCCATGCTAGACTCTCTCATAATGCATGCACTCGACACTAGCACCTAGTCTAATTCATCGACTCAAAAGCTAACATAGGCTTCAGAGGAGAGTTCTGCGGGGTTCGATGTAATTCCACAAGAAACAATCTCAGAACCTCTTTGCTTGATAATTCACACTTAGACAAATACGAAGTAAGAACTCAGTTGGCTTTGAATCAACATACTAATCAACATAACCAGAATCTATTTTAACCGGTATGTTTTTAGATAGATTCGATAAACGGATGTATTTTAATTCATTTTCGAGTGTAATGAATTAAATTCCACCAAACGATATCAAATTTCATGAGTTAGTTGGAACATGATTCTAATAAGGATTTTAGTGAAATTTTTTAGTGATTTTATGATAATAAAATTGACACATTTTTGGTAGATTATGCAAACAAAGTGTATTTTAGTTATTTTTATTATGTTAAGAAAATTAATTATCAAATTCAGTATGTTTTTGTTTTTGGATGGGTTATATGAACGAGTATATTTCAAATTATTTGCAAGTGTAACAAGCCAATTTCAACCAAACTATCTTAGACTTTTGTAAAATACTAAAATTCTAATTTTATTTTATTTTTGAGTGTAACAATATCAACCTCAACCAAACTATATCAACGTTTCACAATTATACTAGAACAAGATTACAAGGATCATACATTTTTCTTTTCATTTTATGATAAAATTAGAATAATTTTCATCAAAGTTAACATGTTTTTGGATGAACAAATATATTTTAGTTTATTTTCCAATATATCAAATATTTTTCCAGATATATTATAAAAAGGAGGACGAGAGCAAAAAGGTGGACGACAAGCTTTAAGAAATTTTGAATTAGTTCATTGACCCAAACATGCTCAAAAAACTTATAAAAAATATTATTAAGATTAAAGACTATTTTTTAAAAAAAAAGACACCATCTCGTAATCTGATAATTTTTTAATAAAAGAAATCATCTTCGATAAAAAGTAATTACGAGAGGCATTAGTGAGAGGAAGGGTTAGATAGCAGAGAAAATATAGAGGTAAATGAGTTTGCAGTTATATTTTACTGTGAAAAACCAATGTTTACTTGCATGTTTGACTTGGACGCCATTATTGTGGACACATGGCAGACCACAAACCGGACTACTACAATGACAGAGCAGGACCTTGAAATTTTGCCTGTCTCCCAGCATCAAGGAAATAATACAACTACCGTTCTTCGGTTTTGGGTGGACCCTTCCACTTGAAATTGTCTGAATAGGATTTGGGCTGCAAAACGAGAAAAATAATTAGGAAGAAATGAGATATCACAATCTCATAAAACACAAAGGCAGACAGCACCTAACTTTCCGAAAGAATGATCTATGCAAATAGAACATTCAAAAGTTTCAACAATCTTTTAAATCTTTTAAACATCAATCTGTTCGACCAATTGAATATTGCTCGAGTGAAGAATAGCAAACCTTTAAAAGAGGTGTGTGAGGCTTTCTCACCTGCAAAGAGAATAGAGGAAACATCACATATTTATAAAGATAAATCAAACCTAGCATATTCACTGCAAATACCTAACGGTAATAACAACAAAAAGGAAAGTTTAAATTTATAATACCTTGAGAGAAATATTCATTTGCAACCTAGAAAGGTTTTGAAAGTTGTTGCTTATGAAAACAAAAGTATTCTCATCTTATGTTGCTGATACAGAATAAATTTCCCCATGTATCAAAGAATATTCTATTCTTCTTTATTTAAGAGTTTCCAACAGATCACTCAACTATCACTGAAATACATTTGAAATGAAGAATAACAACAACATCCAGTTATTTCCCGCTCATAGAATTGGTTATGTTATTTAAAGAACCTACCGTGCTTTATTAAAGAAAGACATCAGTGCCAGGCTCAGAGAAGATACAATAAGGCTTGGACAGCTGGGTTTGGTTCTGTGGCTTAATTTATTGCTTGAACTTTGTTTCCTTCCATGCTTTTGTTTCCTTCCTTCCATCCATGCCATGCTTTCTTCCTTTGGGGGTGAGCTCGTAACTAAACTCATAAGGTAAGCAAAAGATCCATTACTAGCATCGACTGGCAATCCGCCTATCACACTTTCAGCTAGTCATATCAAATATTCTACTTTCCATACCATACTATGAGGATCTTAGACGAGTTCGCTCAATCTTCTCTAGCCATTCGATTCTGACTTTCACTGACCTGACCGATAACTCTATTTTCACTTTACTTGAGCTCGGGTCTGCCCACTCAACTATGAAAGAGTGCCAAGCCAAATGATGACCTGACCACGATAGATTCTCTTCTTTGAGTGGTGTGCCCCGCTTTCTTTTTCTTTTACATTCACTACACCGTTCCCAGCAATCCTTATCCCATTTGTTGTCGCATAGAGCCGAGTCAACCCTATTTATGAAAAAGTGCATCGATCATAAAGAAATTCCATCGAAATAAGAGTAAGTCACCTGCAGTGGAGGTCCTTCTCCTAGAATACAGAAGCGGGAGGGATAACCACGGCCTTTTGCATAGCACATAAAGAAGTAGGTCATCTATCGGTCATATAGATATAGATCCATAGTCGCGGAACTCATAGCAAAGAAGACCATAGAGGCGAAATCAATATATTGGAATTCGTGGTCAAATCAGTTCAAGCTGCAATGATGTAAGTGTCAAATCTTAGATGGATGCTAGATGAGGCCGGACTCTGATCTTTAGTACAAATTCCGTTTCAAAGTAATATTACCTCTTTGCCACACCAGTGTAGTAGGAATAAAGAAAATCAAATCATAGGAAGTAAGATCACATAGAATCATAGAAAGGAAGATCACAGGACTGACTGACCTTTAGTAAACTAGTACTTAAAGCTCTAATGAACCTTCTTTTGACCTTCCGCCAGTGTTTCACTTTTGTAGGCTAATGTCTTGCCCAGTGTGGTTCAGAGCTAACTAAAGCACAGCGACGGTAAAGAGGGTTTGCTGCCGCACTAGCCTAACTATATTATTATATATGATTGACTTCCTTTCTAGCCGCTTGTGGAGCTTCTCAGGAACCTGTCGATAAAAGCTTTGCTGCTTATACTTTATTTACTGCCCAGGGAAAGGGAGTCACTACTTTCTTTTCCGTTCGAGGAAAGAGACGTATCAAGGAGTTTCCGGATGGCTTGGATTTGCACTTTCAAAGAATAGATAGGCAAATGGATTTCTGCTTTATACAAGAATGAAGTACTCTATCTTAGGGTTCGGCAATAAAGAAAGTAACCTAACAACTGCCTACTATGCCTCTATTCAACAAAGCAAAGGGAAAGCCAATAACTTCCACTCTACTTATTTGAGCTGCAGCGGGGTGACGACTTGAAATCACTACAAGGTGTTGGCTGGAAACAAATCTATCTCTCTTTCTCATTGACTTATGTAATAATGATAACTCTTCACAAACCTATTACTCTCATGGCGCTTACGCTTGTTTGTTAGCAAGCTCCAGACTACAGCGTTCGTTAGGTAATTCAACATATCAACTATGATACTACTAAGCTAAGCGTTGGACCCACTACTGCTCCTCCACAATATTAGCAAGCAGTCTCGTATCACGTAACAAGAGTTGTTCTTCCATTCTTTGAAAGAGCTAAGGCACAAACAAACTAGTGTTGAGTAATCAGTCCTTTCACTTAATTATATATCGACTTAATTATATATAATATACAAAAATAATACAAGTGTTAACAAGTAATATACAAGTATCGGCAAGTAATGCAGCTATGGGATCATATCTAACAAGCAATGCTGCTAGGAAATCATATCTATTTATAGGTATAGTAAGCAGTTAGGTTGCTAATATCCATATTGGTCACGCTAAACTCAATTCAACAAGCAACTACAAATGAACAAGTAACGGGAATTCCAAGTTACTCCTAAACTTCTATCTATGACAACACAAGAACTCTACCCACCAGCTTACTTACCGTCCTATCACTACATGCCAATGAAAAGGAAGGAAATCAACTTTCCCTTTTCTAGAGTTTCTTTTATTTCTCTTAGTTGGTTTCTGTCCAACCGGTTGGTTCACTCGACCTTGTGAGGAGGGGTCAAATCAGATCTTTGTTTAAGTTAGTAGTTATGAGACAACCAAAAGAGGTTAGATACGGCTCAAGAACAAGAAATGTGTAAGGCCCTTCACATTCGATGCGCTTCCTGTCCTGCTTTAAATATGACTTTATCCTGGCCCTCGACAAGCAAGTCCCTGGCTGGCAAATTGATCCTAAGAGCTCCCATCAGAAAAGTATCAAATAAGCAGCAAGCATTGTATAGAATAAGGTCAAAATACACTGAACTGATTCACGCAGGACCAAACACTGGGTTTTGATTTGATAGAACATGTGAGTGAGATTCAATTCTTCACAAGGGTTCCGCTCACATTAGCACTTTAGCTAGGACTTTGTGCATTAGTTTCTGTGTTTGGTTCAGCACATATTCTATTCTTTTTTGCATTAGGGGTAGTGAAGGTGTGTGAGATCTTCAAATGTTCTTTTTCTTTTTGGAACGATCCAGCTCGAAATCGATTTATTTCAACAATCCCTTTTTCCAAGAATTGAGTAAGAGAAATTTGTGTGCAAAATCATATTTATTTAAGAGCATGACTAATATAGAAGTAAAAACACTTCCTTAAAGAAGCCATATATAATCGGCACCACTATAATAACTGTAGCCTGTTTTTCTACTCCGGGATTCCGTTCCTAATACGTTGCCTTGTTTACTTTTTTGATATCTTTTTATTGGATTATTGAAGCGCTAAGCATATTCGACTCGGGTGTCCTGTTACAGAGTTTTCTATACTAACCGTTGCTTTTATCTAGATTATATTCTTTGTCAAGGAAAGTGCAATTCAAATGAAAAAGGTGATTGAGCTGGTGTTTAGCTTATTTCTTGGCGCAAGTGCAACTGGAAGTAGAAGTTTTCCAAATTGGAATCAATAATGGAATAAAGAATTTGACTAAGTAGTTGGAATTGAAGAAGTAAACTAACAAGCAAGGGTGAAAGTGAAGTGATAGGTTTATATTCTTTATTCATTGTTAGACCTACGAACATGAACATTAGTCTTATAATGCCATAGCTCAGACTCGAGACCCCTATTCTTATTCCTCTGTTCTAATAAGATAAGCTCGAATAATATAGCAAAGTTAGACTTGAAGCAAAGGTAGTACGATGGATTTCCCATTTTCGCCAAGTAACTAGACAAGTAAGGGATAGAATCAAACTCTTTAAAAGAATAAGTGTATCTATGGTGCAGTAGCAGACTTCGATCAGGGATAAAGGATAATATATGGTTAGCAGAACATAGAAACAAACTCATAAGTATAAGTACAGGTACGGTCCAGTGCATCCAACTACGAACTATAAGTCAAATAAAAGAATAAAGAATGGGACAGGTACTGGATAGAATACAACCACGGGCAAACAAGGCTTTATAACAGTACCCGATAGACTACTACTATACTACTATTGTTAGATTGAACCAATGCTAACTGGAATTGAACACCCAGCTAGGAAATCCACTAATAACTAGCGAATCAAACTAATACTTATGAGAACTCAAGCTGGAAACGAATTCTATAACCACTGATACGGATCTTAGTTTTTAAAATACAACTCTTACTTATGAGAACGAAATCACTGCCTATGTTTATTGCCCAACCTTGCTTTACTGCCTGTAGGTCTGCTATTCCTGTCTTTTAGCTTGAATTACCTGTCTTTGATTTGGAATAGTAAGGGTTAAAGACAATAAGGGCAGGCCAGTAAGTGAACATACGATTTAGATGGATGTCAGATCGAGAGAAAAAGGAGTGAGTGACTTAAAATGAGGAGCGGAAAGCTAAGCCTAACAAACAAGGCTTTCAGGCAGGAGTCTCAGTCCTATATCAGTACTAGTTCCATTATAGTAATAGTAAGTTGATTCCGATAGCGAAGCAATAGAAGTAGAAAGAAGCAATAGTAGTAGCTCACCATCTAAAGCTGCCTTTAGTTTCTTGGTGCAGTGCTATATGCCCCTGCTCCATCCCTGTATGCCCTTGCCCTGGATACGGTGTGCACTCTTCAACTAGGTGTGTATTCTGCCACTAATACATTGAGTTCTTTAGTAGTTTTTCATCTTTCTACTAGTGATGAATTGGTTATGTTATTTAAAGAACCTGAGTATTACAAAAGAGAACCTTGATCAAAGAGTTCTAAAGAACATATTGAATTATTGTCAAAAGAACTACAAAGTCAAGAGATGCAAATAGAATTTTTTTTTCAATCAGACCGACCCCTAGGTTTCCATAGAACAGTATTGTTTGTACCACTATCTTCATCAATAGCTGATCGAGCAGATTCCATCCAACTATGCCATAGTGATAACAATAACTTCAAGCAAATCTAAGAGATTTCCAACCACTATTGATCAACTCAACAAATGCCAACTGATCTGACCAATTTTGGCTAATCATAAATTGAAAAAAACCAGTCCTGAAAGGTCAAGTGCTAGTGTCTACCAGAAAATATGAATCTGCAGATCCAGCCAATCCAAACAGATCCCATTCCCAAAGTTCATGCTGATACTCAACACAATCCCAGTGTTTCCATCCTTGGGTATGAATACAGATGGCTAAGGGCTTTCACCACACACAGTATGATCACAGTATGTGAAGGAATAAGCTTCTGAATGCAAATCTTAGAAAATGATTGCCTGTGGCATCAATCTAGTGGAGCCTTCTGTGAAACATTTTCATACATCAGATAATTTTAAAGGAGAATGGTACAACCTCATGGCAAAATAGAATTCATTATCTCCATAAATGAAAGCCTTTTTCAAAAGGTTTGTGAATGAGCAAGGATAAATTGATTCAGAATAAAAACTAATATAAAAAAACAGGATGATAGTAGGATAATGTGTTTGAACAACTGCACTAACTCCATACACCCTACAACTTAGAAAATCATACCAATATTGCCAAGCACCAGAACAACCAATTATCATTACAAGCAACTAGGTGTTGGATTTCCATTTAACATGGTTAAGCATATACTTCATCAAACCAACTTCCTTTTCACCACTATGGACAAATATCAAAGTGAAATATACAATACTATTGCTGCAGGTTTTCAACTGTAACAGATAAAAAACTGAGATTGAGTGACCATACCACATAATCCCATCCATACTTCTCAGCAAATGCTTTTGCACCTTCTTCACTGTCAAAGGCTAAACCTGCATCACCTACATTGGCATAGGGATCTCCAGTGGAAGTCCAGCCCATCAATGGATTTTCCCACCTGATGTATAAATGTCAGTATCAACAAGAAACTCCTCAAGTCACATTAATCCCTACTTTATGATACTAAATTATCTTTGAAGTTTGAAGATGGGCAGAGAATAACCAAGAAAAAATGTGTTAAGAAAAGTCAAAATAAAATCTAGGCTAGACGCGATAATGAATTTAGACCCTTGGAAAGGTGTAATAAACCTCATGCCTTCTATCAACTTCAATCCGATGGCAAATCCCAATTTTTTCATAACACACATCTAACGGTTCATTACAAGTCAGTTTACTCGAGAATAAGTAGAGATTTAAGTTGGCAGTCTTTCAATGTTTTGTTGCAATATACAACAGATGAAATATTGCCAGATTCAGTATGAATCAAAAGTAAAAAACACAATGTGACTATAAGAAGAAAGAGCTCGTATGCACAGACCGTAAACAATTATAACAGAATTGATGTCATACATCCCAATACAGATTTGATTTCTAAAACATTCATATTGAACAATTTAGGAGATAAGGTGCTGGGTACAGGTGGGATCCTATATAACCTATGTATTCGCAAACCTAAAGCATGCTACAGAGAAAGCAAACATGGAGCATGGACAAGCCCTACTTGTGCCAGAGATAGCCATGACAAAGGTAACTTGACATGACACAGTAGTTGATAAGACACCATAGCCTAAGTGGCTTATTGGTAGCATAGTCTAAATCCTTGGGAAAGACCAAAGTCTTCACATGCCTTCTAATTTTTTCATGGACTCGCAACATTTTACAAGCTCATTCACACTTGATGACTAAGAAATAAGATTAATAAAAATAACCATTAATGATGGAACCCCACAATTGTCATTTGCACTCATATGGTTAAGATTAAGTTACTTTCATGAGGTCTATATGAAAAGAAAATATATAAATTATTAAAAAAAAGAGAGTATAATAAATCAGTTGAAAGATTCCCATGAAGAATTCAGGTACTCTGCTAGTCAATGCTTTTTTCTTTCAAGTAGACAATGCAGTTGAATGATACCCATCCCCATATCATCTTTTAGTAATAAAGAACACAGCCAATGAATAAAGCAGTAGAGAGTCATACTTTTGGGTTGACACAAAATTGATTTTCCACTTTCCGACTTTTCCGGAACCTTGCTGGGTTGCAGTCCGAGCTGGTGAATATATTATGACCTGCATGTGCATAAAAATAAGTTCTGTTTGCTCCAGATAAAGAAACAAGAACCAAGAGACAAAGCTTGAAGGAGTAATCCATGCAGCTAACCAATGCCTACAAAACTGCAGAACATTCACAAACTGTTCAAATCTTATATGGCTATTGTTTTATAGTCCTTAAGCTCCAATTTTCGATGCAATCCTACATTCCTACACAAAAAATACAGAAGTGTTCAACTTTGAGTACAACGTAGACCATGATTGTCAAATTTATCCAAAACTGCTAAGTTCAAGCATCCCAAAAGTACAGAACTAACATGAATCTGCAATCTCTCATCACTTGTATTCAGAAAAAATAGTTAACCTATTAATGACAAGACCTTGGCTGCATAATTCATTGAAAATTCATTATATATTAAAAATTACTGGATTCCAATGTAATTTAGGGTAACTAATAGTGATAATATGTTAACTTTTCTATTTTTCTGGAGCTTCTGCAAGAATTTCTCATCACAATAATTGGTGTTGTATTACTTCTTACACAAAAACAAGCCAATAAATAGTTGTATTCCCAAATATTTGGGTTCGCTACATGAATATTTTCTCACCAGTGAGCCATATATAAGGCAATATATCTAGTTAAATTAAGAGCATGCAAATATCTTTTTATTGTTTCTAGTAGAAACTACAAACAAAGAATTCAATACACTTAATTTACGAGGATATGGATGTTTATAGAAGGCAGCAAAAGGTCCATGTAGCTTATCCCAAATTGTTGGGACATTATGGTTATATTATTATTTTTGTTGATCTTCTTAATTCTCTTTATGATTTAAGGAGTATCCTATGATAATGCAACCCCTCAATGTCACTCCTCACTTTATCCATCACTTATTCAATGAACAATATTTTCATCAAAATCACCCTCCTGTTGAACTGTGAACAATATCCAGGACAGTTAAAGCTTCTACTTACAAGAATTTCTTGTTCATCCATCTTAATTTCACTCTTCACTCCATTCTTAGTTTTACTGAATTTACATTCTATATACATGATCTTGCAACCACTTAAATCTACTTAATCTAAAACCTTCTGTTTCCATGATTTGTCTCAATGATTCAGGTTTAGGAAATTTTATGTTCAACTATCCTCAAATAGAATAATATCGTTACAAGTTTCTTGCAACTTCCAAGGCCAACACAACAACAAACCCTCTTTCCTTTCCTCCTCCTTACTGTCATCATATCCTTATCTACTTTTGCACAGTCCTCCACCTGCTTAATGGTTCAACATCACCGCGGTCCAGTATTCCCCCAACACCAATAAGCCGCTCCATTTAAATTTCAAGATTCTATAAACTATGCTTTTGTATCAGAAATCTAACTAAATTAGGTCAACAACACCAACCTCAAGAACCCCGGTTCGAAATCACATAAAACGGCCTAGGACCTGCAGAAACCTCTTTGGTACTTTCTAATTTACGAAATCTCAGAAAAGTTTATACAGAAAACAAACGAACGGAACAAACAAACGAAAAACCCTAATCTCGAACTTCCGGAATTTCTCGACAATAAATGCTTTTTTCCTCGAGATTTATCTACGAATTCCATTACGTTTTGAAGGACCAACCAAGGAATAAAGATCCAATGAATTAAAAGATTAGAAAAAAGGAGGAAGATCAAAACGGATCGGTACCCGGCGCCGGAGGTGCTCTCGAGGAACGCCGGAAACGATCCCGATCTCGCCGGGCCTGAGTTCGACGAGGGCGTCCGACGCGAGCGATCTCGTTTGGGAGAGAGAAACAGAACGGGTGAGAGTAAGGCGAGCCAAGAAGGAGAATGATCGGCGCAGAGGTGCGGCCATCTCTCCAACGCCGGACGGAGAGAGAGAGAGAGAGAGAGAGACAGAGGGGCAATGGGGGAGGCGAGAGGACTCGGGCTTCGGCTGTTCGCGAACGATCCCGTTCCCTCTGAGGCCCGTGTCTCTTACGTCTGCGATGAGGGGCCCTTTTGGGCCTATTTGCTTTTGGAGCCAATTTAATTGGACCGTGTGTTGGATCGAGCGATGGAATAGACCAGTACTTGTGGGTTCGGTTCTCGTGCCTTGTTCCTCGGGTTCACGACGGGCCTATTATATGTAAGGGCGTTATGATTAATATGAATAAAATATCCAAATAATAAACCGGGGTTCAGTTCCCGGTTTTCCGAGTGTATTGGTTAATCCATTCAGATTTAAAACTATATGTATATTATATATTTAAGAAATTAAAAAAGATAAAATTTTTGAGAAAAAAAATTTGACATGATGAGATTTGAGGGCTTTTCATTTTTACTTATTAATGTAAGTGTTTTTCTTATTCAACATACCTTCGCAAAGTGATGGAATGAACATGGTTTTAGTATAGTAAACTTGATGTCAAGATGATAAGGGAAATCAAATGATCATTATAAAAAATTAGATTAGGGGTATACATTGATAGAGATTAAGAAAGTTTGAGAGATTGATCCTTTCAGGCAAACATACTCAAGTTATTCAAACAAATGATTTTAAAGAGTTATAGAAGGTTACTAGGTCAAATTATGGAGTTATGGAGTCATCCAAAATGTGGATTAGTATAGTTGTTGTTGGGAAATCATGGGCCGGCATCTCATGCGTAGTAAAAAATAAAAAGAAAATCAAATTTTCTAAAGTCAAGTATTTGGTCGTTGTGCGAAATTAGTATACGAGAAAATCGTAAAATCGTAAAACTGCACATATCATGTTAGAAGTGTTATTTAGGGAGATCGTATATCCTCAAAATTTCCAAATATGATAGAGCAGATGAAAGAGAACTCGCGTACTCCTCTTTAGTAGTGATCCATACAACGGATGCAGCGACAATGCTCCTCAGATCATTATGTGATCTCCCTCTTCACACGCACTGTAAGGTTACTGGAGCTAAGGTGGAGAGGAGGCTGAGGAGAATAGGAGAGGCGACCATCAGAGTTCTAGCCTATGAATCATGAGGTTCCTCCTATTTACAGAGGTGCAAGCAGCTTAACCCTTAATGGACCCTATCCTCATTCGATCTCTATCCAATCATCCAATTGGATCTCTATCCAATTATCTAATTAGATCTTATCCGTATGATCCAAACTAAGGGCTCTCTGATATCTTATAACCACACATATACTCGTCATAATTTTCACTATATGTGTGTGATCAAGTCTGATACTGAGCTGACCGTGAGTCGATCCTATCAGAACTCCTTCTGATATAGTAAATTATTTTCTCTATAATAATTCACTTGACTCATCGACTATGGACGTACTAGGCCACTATACCATAGTCCCCAAATGGTACAAGGGATATAATCCATCAAGCCTATTTGTCTTCAATTATCATGTGTCTATAGTCTCTTATCTATTTAATATTTGAGAGACCATATGTTGGGCATGGTAACATTAAGCTCATATAGAATCTTGTCTGAGTCTCGCTCTAATCAGATTCTCTCAAAGAATCCTATCTCTCTCAATCTGAATGACTCTGGCTAGAGATTTTGTTTGAGTGAGCACACATGGGATATTCCTCTCATGATATTGAGAATGGATGATCCTTTGTTAACACTCAATTGCCTTCGTAAGGTTGGTTGTCATTCCCGAGAACCAATTTTACTAGATCTGGAACTTCCAAACTTATAAGTTAGATGTTAAAGAATGAAGTACTTATACAAGACATCTTTGATATCTTAAGTCTAAGGACTAGATATACAATTGGAACTACAAAATCACTATCTGACGTCAGGTATTATTAATTATCTAGCATTCTATAAGTAGATTAATCAGTGAACTCATTTTCTAATGAGCACCTACACTATGTTAGGATTGAGTCGGTACTAAGAGAGGGAGGGGGGGGGGGGGGGG